TACAAACGCAAATCCATTCAAAAATAACTGTTCTTACCCAGTTTTCCAAGCTAAACACGAATCTGAACTGAATTCCTGTGATTTCTAAAGATATTCTATCAGTCTGAGAGTAGAGTCAATGGTCACAGGATAGGGTCGCATACAGTGTGGTCCATGCTAACTTAGCACGCCTGTATTTTCTCCTTACAATTTAGTGATAAAAAACACAATGAATATACCTTTTCACTTTTTGAAGTACACATAACACTCGGATTTAAATCCGAGGTTTTCGCATTTATTCATTTTGAATTCATCGTTAAACTCAAAACTAGTAGTTATTTTAAAATTATATCAAATAGAAATCTTCTGAAGAGTTTTGATTCGATAGTGAGCTATAATATTTGAAGATTTAGATTTTATTACCGATTTCAATTGTTCGAATGTTTCTTGATTTCCTGTTTTAGCAACAGTTAAATAAATAGCAGCACGAATATTTGGATTAATTGATTGATGATTTTGATTATTACTATTCAATAATATTTCAAAACGTTTATGTGCTTCTTCACGTGTTTTATTATGTCCATTAATACCCATTTGAATTAATATTAGATCACGAAGCATAGCTGCTTGTAAACCTTCATTTGGTAATGGATCCCATTCTAATTTACTATAAATATTTGATAAAAGATCACATATATATATTTGAAAAAGTTTTTTTAGATTATGAATAGAAGCATAATCAATAATAGAATTAAGATCAATTAATTGTTTTAATATAGATTTCCAAACAGTTAAATTATCTTCATGTTTATATGCATGACGAAGTAATTTTAAATAATCAACATAATTAATATGACCAGAACGTGCTAATGCATAAACATCTGTTTGAATATCAAAACGATCTTGAGGAGAAAGTGCATGATCTTGTATGCCTGGTATTAAAGCATCAAGCATTGATTGAGGATAATTAACACGATAGATACCAACACTAAAATAATAAATTTTTTTATTAATAAATAAATATTTATTCTAAATTCAATATTCAATTAATATCATCGTAAAAGAAATTCGAAATATTCAAAGAGACATTCATTTTTGTTAAAATGATTCTGAAAGTGATTTATTTTCTATATTATCAATTGCACAGACATATATTTAAATGGAATTTTAAGCGGTAATAAAAAAAGATTTTCTCTAGACTATATCTGCTTAGATTGTAAAAAAAATGCAAAATAACCGACGTACGGTTGTTATACAGATTTTATTATCGATCAATTTTGATGTACTTAACGTATTGAGAAATATTTAATTTTCATAAATAAAGGGTGTGTCATAAGTTTTGATCCCATCCGTATTTTTACTATAACTTTTTTTCTTTTTGATCTTTAAAGCTGATTGTTTTTTCCAAAAGATGCGCCGTGAAATTCTCTACAAAATCATAATCAAACTTATTTCTGTAGAAAGGCAACAAAAAAAATTAAATGAAGATTATTCAACACATAAAAAATACCCAACTATCGAAGCTAACGAGTATCCCATAATCAATGGCCAGTGTTTGTATCTCTCTTTTTATCATTTAGTACGTTTATTTTAAAAGCAAAGCATACCATAAGATGCAGCGTAAAACGCTCTACAAGTTGCATTAAAAACTTATTTGATATATGCACTCTTCGTTTTCAATATGGATAAATATCTGTGCGATCAATTTTCGACGCTGCGAATAAGA